ATCTTTTTCTACGTTTTATTATTTTTAATAAAAACTTTATCTGTTTATTCATTTGGACATTCGTTATTACCACTTTTTTCACTTGATCCATCTTATATCAATATTAATCATGGTTCTTATGGATCAGCACCAAAATATGTTCATGAAAAACTTCATGAATATCAAATGAAAGCTGAATATAATCCGGATCGTTGGTTTCGTCGTGAAATTCAAATTGAAATGAAAAATTTACAAGAAAAACTTAGTAAATATGTTAATTGTGATTCCAGTGATATAGTTATTCTAGAAAATGCTTCAAACGGAATCAATACAATATTAAAATCTATAAAATTTCATTCAAATGAAACAATTTTATATTATAATATTGCTTATGGAATGGTTAAATTAACTTTACAATATATTTCAAGTGAAATTCTTACTCCTGAACAATGTGTAGAAATTATTTTAGATCATCAAACAATTCAAAATACTGATTTATTATTAAAAACAACTGAAGATACTTTAGATAAAATAAAAAATGTAAAATTAATTGTTTTTGATCATATTAGTTCAGTTCCATCTATTCTATTTGATGTTGAAACAATGATAAAATTCTTTCGTGAGAAAGGTATTTTAACTCTTGTTGATGGTGCACATGCAATTGGAGCTATTCCGATTGATTTAAAAAAACTTGATCCAGATTTTTATATTACAAATGCTCATAAATGGTTATATACTCATCGAAGTGCTTCTTTATTATATGTTAAAAAAGATTTTCAAAATTTAATTCATCCAATAATAACATCATTTGGATATTTACAACCTTTTCAAGATGAATTTTTCTGGCTTGGAACAAAAGATTATAGTGCCTATTTAACAATATCAGATGCATTAGATTTTCGTCAAACAATTGCTAATGAAAATCAAATCTATTCTTATATGCATCAATTAGCTAATCAAGCTGGAAATTTACTAGCACAAATGTGGAATAGTTCAATATTAACATTAGATGAAAAATATATTAGTACAATGAATAATATTCAATTACCATTAACTATTGATACATTAGATAAAAAGGATAATTTATATAAAAAACTAGTCAATGATTATAATATATTTTTACCAATGTATGAATTTGATAAGAAGTTTTATTGTCGAATTAGTGCACAAATTTATATGGAATTAAATGATTATGAAAAAGTTGGAAACATTGTTTTAGATATTATTTTCAATAGAGATCCACCTCCTAATACAGCTCAAAAGAAAAACATCTCTACTATTTTATTTATTAGTCTTATCTTATATGTTATGCAACTTTATTGATTCATAATAAAACATATTGAACAATTAAGAGACTCAGTTTTTAAACCAACGAGGCGGCACAGCCCCAACATTTTCATATATTTCATTTTGTTGAATACAAAATACTTAAAAAGAAATTTTCCTCGGTGGCCTGAGAAAGAGAGAAAACTAGACTTGTTGTTCTAGTAGCATTTCGTTTTATGGTTATTATTACAGAAATTAACAATGCCAGACGAACCAAAAATCCTCGACGATAACAACGTTGTTGTTGCGACTTTTCTTTTTATTTCTCTTCTGGATGATTGTAATATATTCGTTGAGTATCATAAATTAATCGATATGCATCTGATAGTTTATAACATAGTACTCTATTTATATCAAAGTTAATATAGCTGAATGCGTTATAGGTTCAAATCTTGAAGGTGTGGGTATGTATGTCTCATCTGATAGCTCACACCCACACCCTTAATGAGTATCCTTTATCAAGTTTTATTAGAAATGTATTTATAGTGCTTGAGAAATTCTATTTTTGAAAATATATTCTATAAATTTCTTCGGCATTTACAATCTCAGTTTTATATTGTTTATATGTTCTACATGAGAAGTTTTACAAATCCTATTTAATAAATTGTTCAAATAAGAAAATTCATCCTTTGATTTTAATTTATGTTAAAATTTTTTCATTGTTATAATTGTATGCTCTGAAGATTTTCTTAAATCTATAAAATTTATTTAATATATCAACAGAGATTAGAAGATAATGAAGTGTGGGTGTAGAAGGGATACCACAGCCCTATCTAAAATCAAAAGAATGTTCATTGTTAGCAAATTCATTACTTGACCGTCAATGTGAAATTAATTTTATAAATGTTAAAGATGGAACGAGTACTCTAGAGCTCATGAAGACTATGCCCCATTTTCGTGCATTGATTTGCATCGAATCTGAAGATTTCTTCAAAAGTAGATGGTCACAGTCATCAGTAGTAGATGATGAACTTCTTGAATAATTTCAGACTCGATTGTTATCTGCATGTACTCTTACTAGAGATCCACATGTCAACTTCTGAATTCGATTTTGGTTTAGTCGAGGAGAATGCTTCCTATTCCCAAAAGTTACACATTCCGGAATCGCTGCACCCAGCCAATTTAACATCATTCAATTCCGGAATTCCTTGCATACGATTCCTGCCTTTTCCGGAACAGATCGAATTCGATTCCTGCCCATTCCGGAATTCCTTCCATCAGATTAATGCTATTCCGGCCAATTCCGGAATTACAAAAGATATGCTTGATCTAGACATGAACTTGGTGAGCGATTTATTCGAATCCGTAGCGGAATTCCGGAATTCGTGCACATTCCGGCTTTTCCGGAATCGCCCGGAATGGGCAGGAATTCCGGCTTTTCCGGAATCGCCCGGAATGGGCAGGAATTCCGGCTTTTCCGGAATTGCACAAGTTATACTTCATGTAGAAATGATCCTCCTGAATAATCGAATCGATTCCGTAGCGGAATTCTGGAATTCGTGCACAGTCCGGCTTTTCCGGAATCGCCCGGAATAGGCAGGAGTTCCGGCTTTTCCGGAATTGCACAGGTTATACTTCATGTAGAAATGATCCTCTTGAATAATCGAATCGATTCCGTAGCGGAATTCCGGAATTCGTGCACATTCCGGCTTTTCCGGAATCGCCCGGAATAGGTAGGAGTCGAATGCAAGGAATTCCGGAATTGAATTATGTTAAGTTGGGTGAGCCAAGCGATTCCGGAATGTGTAACTTTCCGGAATAGGATGACTGCTCTAGTCGAGAGGATGTGAGTGAGAGTCAGGCAAGATACGCAGATCCTCAAGAATCGTGCAAAATTTTTATTGGTTTGAAAAAAACAAGGAAATACACATATATCGGTTTTTGTGTGACTCTTTCTCTCAGAAAAGGTATCTTATTGTATTGTAGCATTGAGCAATAAAAACATCTACGGTTCTGTATTATAGGGCAGAACGTCTACAGTTTTTCTAAGATTCAGCATTTACGGTCTTCATGAATTAGGATTACTGGACAAAACCTTTTATAGTTCTTCATCTGCTATGCAAAACTTCTCTCTTTTTTTTCAAAGCATTGTCACTCTTCAAAAATTTGGCTAAGATGCAGCAAAAAAATAATGAATGTGTTGACAAAAGCCGCTGTTCTGCAAATCCACACTCTCGTCTTCGCTCCTTTTCGTCTTCGAATACATACGCAAGGCGTAATACGTTTCTTATCTGTTAAAATAATACTTTATCAAAATCAACATGAAAGAGTATTAAAAAAATGACTTTTATTCTTTCAAAGCTTATCAGTTGAATGAATAATCATAAAAAAGACTTTATTTCAAAGACAAAATCCATTCGAAACTAAACCGATGATGCTATCGAGAATTGGAAAGCATCGGTGAGGAAAAACACAGATGATCATCGCGTAGTATTTTATACAAGCAAACGACGCATTTGTTAAGCGAATGTCCATTGGATAGTGTAAAGCTGTTTTTTTCCGACGGAAGTGTTGTAAATCATCATTTCTTGATTAAGTGGATTCGGATCGACACCTGATCCACGATGAATACAGACGTAAAGTATACATCCCGGATGAAAATTTACCGGTTTGATTTCGAAATTATAACGATGAAGAATGGCTAGAAGTCTTGTAATTGTTTCCATGCCAGCTTGGATGCCGTTGCAGTTCAATTGACAAATGCTTATTGTATTCGGTTGAGCCATGTGCGCAAAAACGTTACGAGAATAGAAATGTTGGATGCAAGTGAAATTGTATATTTGTTAAGTATTTGTCAAAGTGAAATGATAAGAACTTGTAGGGATATAAATATATCAGATTAAAAATAGATGTTTGTCTATTACAAGATTGGATGTAAAAACACCGAAAGGCAAAATATCGACACAAAAAAAATCGAAAAATAAACGTCGAGGTTGTTTAGATTGAAAAGCAATGTCTATATTATAATAAATGTCGAAAATTTGCAAATGTCATCATTGTTAGCATCAACAGAGGTCTCCCACTATCAATCAACTTGGTGTGAGTGAAAGAAACAGACATCCACCATTACTCTCAAATAATAAATATTTATACTGGATTTTTATTAAACGTGTAGATATAGCATATACTTTAATATTGAAATTAATTGAGGATTTATTAAAAGAAAATCGTTTGTATTGCTTAAATTAAATGTTCTAAGTTGAGTAATGCATATAAACAATGAATTCGTTCATAACTTTATCGATCCAGACGTAAATTCAATAGAAGAAAAAGATGGAACACTAAGAAATTTAATGTCAGTTAACTTACGCATTTTGATTTTAAGTTGTTTTAAAAAATATTAAATCATAAATAATTTCTATTGATAACACAATAGATTTGACATGAAATAGTTTGTCATGCATTCCAAATGATAAATTTCTTATCAAACCAGTATTGATTTTAAAATCGAGATAAAATCATATAGGATTGAGATGGTTCGTTATTGTAGTATAAAGATAAAATCGTTGAAGTTTCAAATTCTTTAATGCCATTTCATCGTCCATTGTGATATTTATATGAATAAAATTCAATGATAATAAAAAGTGTTTTATACTACAAATTAATTGATTAAAAAACTCTTCTTTAATCTGTATGTAAATTATTAAATTGATTACTTTCAAATATTGGTTCTAATTCTTCATTCGGAAAACCATCGAATATATGAAAACTATTTTCAGTTTGAGAATTAATGAGTATATATTTTCTATATCGACTCAACAGTAAAAATCTCGTTCTTTACAATTATATATTACATGAGAGAATTGAAACAGAATACAATAAATAAAGATAGAAAATATTCTTACGGGAGATAATAATTTTACTGATGTGTGGGAAAGGATAAATAAATATCGATTATACATTGCTACACCTTGCCTATACCTGCTGTTCTACAATGATAGATGAATAAAAAATGTGACATATACGAAGCAAATATGTTGGATAGTTGTCAATCCTCAATGTGTATTGATAAGAAAATGTTATCTCGATTATCTATCCACAACATCAAAGAGAAAAAAACGACAGCATTGCCTGATGGCAATCTTTCGTTCTCTGGAATAAAAATACTACTAAATGCAATTAATAGGAAAAAAAGATAAACTAATACTATTCTTTCTCCTATATTCTCATCATAATAACATATATAGCTTGTAAAAGAATAATGTATTAGAACAAAAAACATATCCTACTTTCTAATGAGTACATCTTCTACAACTCCTATTCTAGAAGTTCCACAAACATCTGCTGGTCGTTTTGTTATAATTGCTACGGTAAATATTAGGATCTATTCATTCTCTTAATGTTTACTTTTAGTGAAACAGATTAAAGCTAAAGATGAAGCAAGTGCAACGCGTCTTGAATCATTAATTGTTGCTTGTCGAGATTTCGCTCTTTCATCTGCTGCACCAACATGTCATACATATCGAACAGTGCGTAGTCTTGACAAGAAAAATGGTGTAGTAACGTTTGTTATTTTTGAAGAATGGGTATAATTATTATTTGAAACATTAATAAATGTTTGTTATTATGTTTTATAGGATACCACACCCGATACATTACAAACATATTTCGAAAGTGATGCTATTCAAGAATGGAATAAGGCTTTGAAAGAAGAAAACTTACTTGCTGAACCTTGGGAAGAACCACCACCATTTTATGAAGAATTTATTCGCAAATAGTTACTCTATATATTCTTTTTAATTTTATAATTATCTATGAAATTTAGTATTAAATTATCGTCTGGAGAATTTTATCAAGAGTATAGATTAGAAACTATAGTTTTAATGTATTATTATATTTTTAGTTTGATAATTTTGGAGAAAGGATATATAGTTTTATCTGTGATTCGGTATATATATATATATATTGAATGAAAACGTATTTCATAATATTATATAGCTGACAAAACTATCAGACATTTGATTTTTCTTTTAGATAAGTAAAGAAAACGATAGTGACTGATACATACTACACAAAAGTATGTCAATATATTTTATGAATTAATTTTGCATTCTAATTGTTTCGATCGTTAGCATGCAAATGAAGAAAAATACTCTGATCTATTGAATGAAAGTAAAAATAATAGACAAAACTGACTTCAGAAAGATGTTCATAGCGAAAACTCACTGATTGAAAGTCAGAGGAAATACAGGATCCTGTATGAAATGTCCGAAGATATTGTACTAATTACTATGAAAAAATAAAATAAAATAAAAACTTTCTATTCTGATCACGATATATTCTTTTGTCTTGACTATTGCAATAAAATAAAATAATTGATGAAGACATATTAAATGAAGGTCAAGTAATCATTCTTTGTTAAGAAAAAAAAGATGAAAAGAATCGATTCTTTTATTCAGAAATAAAAGCAAGAAACATATCAGAATACTCAACTAGCGTTTATCTATTTGTGTAACTCCGATTCGACATTATTTTAGAGACAGCTTAGTTATCGAAAACTTCTCTATCTGACTATTGATCGTCTCATTACATTTAAACAATTCGAATTAATAATAATATCAGTCCCTATAATAAAATGAATATTAAACGATGAAAACAAACTAAAATATCGATTAGACATAACAACATGGTAATTTAATAGAAACTTACAACTATCATTTTAAAATTGTTGTACTTTTACCTATTAGTATATATAAACAAAATTTATTTTCGCTTACATTTTCTTATCATGATTATAATAAATGAAAAAAATAATTTGTTATGGTAGTTTTTGATATGTTTGATAATTTTGTTTTTGAAACATGTGAACTATACGTATATGTACATTATTTTCGGTAACTATCTGGAAGAAATTTGATATAGACAGATTTAATTTTTGTTAATTATATTTTTTACACCTTTACATTATTTATCATTTTACATATAGTATATAAGACAAGAAAAAATATATGCTAAATATTCATTTTCATCTATAACATATTCATTTGCAAACGAGACACGATGAATTCATACTACTTATACAATAACCATGCAGATTCAATACAATTCTACAATCCATATGGCTTTTTAACATATCATAATCCACAATATGGAACAAGGACAGGTATAAAGAATATTTAGTTTAAAAAATTGAATAAAAGATCTATGTTTTATTTAAAAGAATATTTTAATCCCAATGGAGCTATGATAAACATTGAAGAATTTATGGACAAGAAAAAGTCTGGTGCTGCAAAGAAACTTATCCAGGAAATCTTTAGTACTGATATGAATATGTACATGGTGATATTCGAACAACTGGGTCTTTTTCAATAAGCAAATAATGCCAATGAATTAAAGTTTGAATTTTTTTTTTGTACATTATTAATAACACTTTAATTAATATTTAATTTCTTTCTATTTTATTATTTTTTAAAACTATGCTGTTTCTTTTCGAATAAATCTAACATCTATGTTTGAATTAATATCATACTATTATCAATAATTATCCCTATACTCTTAAATTAAAACTATAATATAATTCGATTGTTTAATAGTTGATGATTTGATAAAAAAAACGCGAAGTTAATATATTGCTACTGAATATTTTAAATATATGTTGTAAGGCAAATTAAAATGATTTTTAATTCTGTGTTTTTTAAGCAAAAATTGTATATTTTTACTGCTTCTTCTGTGAGGATAGGTGTGAGAGTGATGTATGACCGTCTTGAGTGTGAATTTGGGTGCGGACTGATGGTGCCATCGCAGCGATAAGAGCGAGGGTGAAATGAAAAAAATCGTAATGTTTTGTTTTTCACCCTCACTCACCTTCAAGATCAATTAGAGTCGAATGGAAATTAAAATCAACTATCGTTCTTAGGGGTAATACGGTTCGCAGTTCCAAGTTCAGATGAACTGGTCAAAAGAACTGCTGGTTCAGTTCAGTTCTTTTCAAAGGAACTATTAAACAGTTCCTAAGAACGGAACTAATATGGAACTGTCCTACCTCTATGCATAAGTTACTATGTAAAATAATAACTCTGATTTTATCTCATCGGTAGAATTATAATTACACAATAATCAATTAAAAATAGCAAAGATTAATATTAATAAAATGATCTTTTATGAGCTTTCGTTTGATATGAAATATCATCGCTACATTGATTTCAATCGTAATAGTATATGATCTCTTAAAAATTTTGTTTTTGTTTTTCATGTTCCCTCACACTATTAAGCTTGTACGATCACTGATTTTTAGCAAATAAAAAAATACATATATATATATGAGTTATTCTTTTTATCATAAATAAAGTTTATTAAATAATACGTTTTCGATGAACAAGATATTATCGTAAAAAATTACGAGTATGATCAATAGATAAATATTCAAAATTTAGTAAATTGTTTATAAATTGTTTTTGGTAATAAATATCATACTGTTTTTTTTATTTCTAGCATATATTTCAAATATTCTGATTTTGATAAAGAAAATAATAATTAATAGAATTTATTCATAAATATGTGATTAGAATTATATAATATCAATTAATTCTTCATAAATAAACTATTATTAGTTTTTAATTGTTGTAAATATGGAAATTGTTTGAATACATTAAATTTGAAATCATCAAAGTATCCCTAGTGCACGTTAAAGACATCTTCGTTCACGTACTTAATATCCCTATTAACTTGAGCAACTTAGTTATATTGTTTGCATTCAACTAGTTTTTTCTCTAGTTGTCTTTTCGTGATCTTCAATTGTACTTTTTTGTGCTAGTCGTTAAATAACTTATAAAATGTTGTAACTATCTATAATGGAAAATTGTGGTTTATTGAGAAAGGACATAAATTGACGGTGTGGGTGTGGGTGATCAGGTAAATGCAAAACTTTATCATTTGAAGTTTTTATCGTTGAATCGTAGTTTTGCCTATCTTTTGGATTTATATCAGAACGAATAAGTTCTTGGTCAAAATTCGAGAAATTGTGGGTGAGATAACGAAGATGATTAATATTGATTAATTAATTACCGAAAAGAAGTGTCGCTGTTGTTGACAGTAGTCTATTTCGTAGCTTCGTACAAATATGAGTTCCATCTTGCATAAATAACCAAGATCATGTTGATGGAAGATTAATGGTAAATAAATCTGTATGATCGACGAATGCCAAATGTGCAAAAAATCCAAGTGTTGCTTTCATAGCAAGTAGGTATCGACTGTCGCAATCACTGGAGTAATCGATGATACGAATACCTCTACTTTTGAATTCTTGATATATTTGACTCCATCGAGACAGTACATAAGCTGCTGGTAAGATCGAACACCAATTTTCAAAACAATGTATTCCATCAGCATCAAGTGGACGTCAAAGATCAATAAAGATTTAAATTAAAAATGATCCTTGAGTTAAGTGATTTTCAGAAGAAGCAATATACGACTGGATAATTCGTACACTTGGAAGAAGTACAAGTATATTTAAACGTAAAAATTCATATGCTGTACGACCTCCAAGAACGTAAACGCTGGCTGCAAACTGTCGAACTATATTATCATAACGATAAGCTCGTTCATCATTGTTTAAATTACTGAATATAGTTTTAAGAATAATATTAAAAATTGTAAAGTCAGTTTTGTTGCTCATAACCAACTTATAATAAGTAATAATTGTTCGAATAAATGGAAATTTTTCTAAAATAGCATCGGAAATAATGACACCAGATAAATTAGATAGTATTGTTGTCTAGAAAAAAAACGTATTAGCATTCAAATGGCACGTTTCAAATGCCACATTTATAAGTAGTGTATGCATAGTCTTAAAATACTCTCTATACTTTGAATTAGAAATAAACTCTTCTGATTGGATTACCATGTTATTATGTGATATTTTATTTTTTCAAATCAAGTTGTCAAGGATATAATTGATCCTGATAATAAGTTGCTAAGCATGCCGAATAATCTTTAAAAAAATGTATTAGAAAGTAGATAAATGGAATGCATAATAATGCTATTCGATGTCGCTGTGAGGAAGCAATACGAGAATAGGGTGTGGGTGTTTAATAGTTGTCTCACATCATACCCACTTCAAGATAGTTTTTTATTGAAGTTATCTATTCATTCTACACATTATTGTTCTCTACGACGTAGATCATGGAAGCATTTGATTCAACGTTAGTTTTTGTTTCATTCAGTTGTAGTTTAGAAGCAGTTGCTTCAGATGAATATTTAGACCAAGCTCGAATAACTTCACCATATTTCCAGAAAATGTATGGTAACGGTAGACAGAGAAGAGCTAAAAAGCCAGCGATCGAGCCAGCCCATTGGATTCCAAGATTTCGAAACATTCTGGCAGTGAAGAGAGCTAGAAATACACAAGTGAATAGAATTTTTAAAAAAAGCAAAGAAAACTTACGAAAAGCAGCACCAAACAATGATCGAAGAATAGAATTAGCAGCCATAACAGTTGCTGCATAAATAGTATAAGTATCGATCATATAATTTATTAAAGCTACAAAAACAAGTACTATTCCGAATCCAAATGGTACAATTGCCAGAATAGGAACTATAAAATGTATTGATGAATAGTTAGTCCAAGCAAACCAAAATAAACCTATAGGTAGACCAAAAGCACCAACAATTGCTGGTGGAAGACGTGCTTCTGGAGGTACGAAACTACCAGTATATATTACTGTTACTTTAGTATATCGTCGTTTATCCCAGATACAATACAAAGTACCAATAACAATACCTAAAGCCATACCAAGAAATGGAAGACCATCAATTCCAGGTGCCCATCCTTTCTGTTCATGATAGACTATTGGAAAAGCACCAAGTAACATATACATGATACCGTAAATGACAGCCATGTAAATTGCAAAAAAAAGAACGATTGGTTCACGAAAAAGGAATATCCATGGTCGAGAAAAAGAAATTTTTAGTAGATGAGAAAGTGTGACTTGAGATTTTGCTTCAAATTTCGAGCGATAAAAAAGATCTGTGATCTTGCGCAATTTTTCAGCTCGCCGATAAAGAAGAACGGGAGCATAGGTTTCTGGCAAACCAACTATTCCAATAACAGCTAATATACCTGTAAAGATAGCCATAATTCCTTGAATCCATCTCCATCCAATTGCTGCACCAGTGAAACCACCTAATTTAATTTAATTTAATAAATAATCTTTATTTTTATTTCCATGACTTACCGATAATAGATCCAAAAACAGGTCCTAAGAAAGGAGCAGCAGCAAAAATGGTTAAAGGAAGACCTCGTTGATTAGCTGGATAAAGATCAGCTATCGTACCGCTACTCTAATAATAATTAATAGATTTAGAATAGATTGACAAAAATAAGCTATGTAACATACATTGGCAAAAGCAGATGAACCGAAAGCACCGGCAAAGAATCGAAGAATAATGTGAGTCCAGATATTTTGTGATGCTGCTGATCCAGCATTGAAAGCAGTCATTGACACAAAAGTAATAATAAAAATAATACGTCTTCCGAATACTTCAGAAAATGGTGCCCAAATAAGAGGACCTACAACAAATCAAAATTAGAAAAAGTAATAGAGAAAAAAAAAAATTTTACCCAATGCAAACCCAAGTACATTAACTGAAATACCAAGCGTAATTATTTCACGAGAAGGTTGAAAATCTTGAGTAAGACCATCAAATTCGCCAACATATACGGATGAACAGAAAAGGACAGCTGTAGCAGCAACAGAGACGAAAATAGTCAACGCCCATTTATAAATTGGATTCCATGTTTGACAATTTTCAGCATCTTCCAATAGCCAATCAATCATATAGGGTTCTTCAATCGTTCCTTTTCCTCGATACTGATGAAATTGAATTTTTTCGAATGAAGTTACATAAGGACGATAACTTGTTCGAGTTAAATTTAATTTCAATCGATTTTTTTCCATGGAATAACTTTTTTCCATAAATGCAACTATCTGTATAGTCAAACAACAAGAAATTAAATTCGATTTCAAAAGGTGAGATACATACATACACAAGATAATACTATTTATTCATCTCGATGTTGTTATATGATATGTGAGTAAATCGACTAATAAAGGCGTTCGTCACTTTACATTTGATCAATGTCAATTGTACTATTAATAATGATAAAATGCACTTTAACATGTTTGTGAGTATTAATCGATGTACTTTTTCACAGTTTTATTATTGTTATAGACTATTTATGATAATCCATAGTAAATATATAATATAAAAAGAAAAAGGTTTAATAAAATAACGCCCAATTCTCATTTGTCCGTGATCTTTGATGATTCATTTAACTCAATGACGCCCTTATATAAATTCAAAGATTTCGATAATTTCATTCACTTTTCTTCGGACAATTAATTATTACACAATCAACATCATTATGATTCACAAGGAACAAGAAAAAGAAAATGAATCATTGACAATGGATAATTTGAATCCATACATTCTTGGTGTTTCAGATGCTGTACGAGGTCCTACTGTAGTACGAGCTGTTGAAATTGAACAACAACTAAAGAATGTAAGTAAATAGAAAAAAAATAAGATAATCATATGTATTATTATAAATTATTTTAGAATTTTAATCAATTTCCATTTAATCGTGTTATTCGAGCTAATATCGGTGATCCACATGCAAGTTTCAATCAATCACCAATTACATATATTCGTCAAGTTTGTATTCATCTCATTCGAATTTTCTTTTTTAATATAAAATAATTCTTAATTTTAAAGTTCGTTGCTGGATGTACTTATCCTCCTTTGATGGATATGTCTGATTTTCCAATCGATATTAAACAACGAGTCGAACGTTTATTAAATGCCTGTAGTGGGAAAAGTCTTGGTTCATATACGGAAAGTCAAGGAATTGTTACTGTGAGAGAAGATATAGCTAATTATATCGAATGTCGTGATGATTATCCAGCTAATCCAAATAATATTTATCTTTGTAATGGAGCAACAGAAGGAATCAGATTAGTATTGAAACTTCTTATGAATAATAATCAAAATAAACCATCAGGCATTGTAAGTTAAAATTTCTACGTTGGTTTTGTTTTACTGATATTATATTTGTAGATGATTCCTATTCCACAATATTCATTATATAGTGATACATTATCTTTATATGGTGCTTATCAAATTCGATATTATCTTGATGAAGATAATAATTGGGCATTAAATTTGAATGAACTTCAACGGGCATTTGATGAAGCAAAAGAATATTGTATACCTCGTGGTATTGTTATTATTAATCCGGGAAATCCTACTGGTAAGAAAAAATATCGTTTTTAATTAATTCATAATCAATTTATATTTACATTTAGGTCAAGTACTTTCATCAGAAAACATTAAGATGGTGATTCAATTTGGTAAGAAATAGATCGTGGTTTTTTTCTCTAAATTCTTATCTATTCGATACGTTTTCTTTAGCGTATAAACATAAACTTTTTATTTTGGCTGATGAAGTCTATCAAGAAAATATTTATTTTACCGATTCCAAATTCTATTCATTTAAAAAAATAATGATGGATCTTGGTTTACCTTACAATCAAATGCAAATGGGTATGATATTGTTTTATGTTCTATTATAGAAATAATTAGTTTCATTTAGCTTCATTTCATTCGGCATCCAAAGGTTGGCATGGCGAGTAAGTTAAGATTTATTTTGATTCTTCTTACGATTAAAAATATACTCATTGTCTTATCATAGATGTGGTTCACGTGGTGGTTATTATGAATTAATTAATCTGAGTAAAGAAGTACGAATACAAGTGAATAAACTTGTATCTGCTAGTATTTGTTCAACAGCATGGGGTCAAGTCATAATGAATGCCATCATTAATCCACCAAAAAAAGGCGAACCATCTTATGAACTTTATGAAAAAGAACGATCAGATGTTTTAAATCGTCTCAAAGAGAAAGCCAATTTAATAACTGATCTATTCAATTCTGTCGAAGGTGTTCATTGTAACCGAGTAATGGGGTTAGTAATTAATCGTTATATTGTTTATCTTTTCTTTGTTTAATCAATCTGATATTATTTTAGATCTATGTATGCTTTTCCTCGTATTGATTTACCGGAAAAAGCAATTGAATATACTAAATCTCTAAATATGACACCAGATACTTTTTATTGTTTTCAATTACTTGAAAAGACTGGTATTTGTGTTGTCCCTGGTAGTGGTTTTAAACAACAACCAAATACTTATCATTTTCGTATAACTATTTTATCACCAACTGATGAAATAAAACAAATCGTCGATCAATTTCGAACATTTCACAAGTCATTTTTACGCGAATGGAAATAAAATTTCGTTCTCATTTATTTTAATCCAGCACACGTTTTATTTTCAATAAAAAATTCGTTTTTTTGATTTTGATATTTTATAAATTTATCTTGAGGGTAGGTGGGTGTCAATGTGGATCCTTATCAGAGTCTACACCCACCCCCCAACAAACTTGAAAAAGCTTTTTTTTTATATTAAAAACTTCTCTCTATTAAAATTTCATGATTTTTGTGCTATCAAAGACAATATCTGTAGTGTGTACTCAGTGATATGAGTGTAGGTATAAATCAAAGTAAACAAACTCACACCCACATCCACTCCTTCTTTTATGATGACGTCTTATTTTATTAGATTAAAAAAATTGATTTGTAAAGTGACAATAATAATCCGATTAGAATTCAATAGTAACAATTGTTTTATCTTTAAAGATTAATCTTTATAATTAATAGAAAACATCATATATAAATGACGCATTTTTCAAGTTTATGAATGAACACATACATCCTAAATATTTCAAGAAAAAGAAACAATGACCGACTCACTCATCCAACTTGCTATTCAAATGACACGAGCCATTGTACCAATAATAATCTTAGTTGGTATTATAGGAAATTCATTGAATATTGCTGTACTTAGTAGACCTAGTCTATACAATCATGCTTGTTCTCGTTATTTTTTGGCACTTGCTTGTAATAATCTGTTCTATACAAGTACAATGATGATTTATCGTCTTTTAGCTGATGGTTATCAACTTGATATAACAAAAGTTTCTCCTATTTCATGCAAATTAATTGTATATACATTTCAAACATGTGGAATATTATCACAATATTTTGTTATTCTTGCTTCAATTGATCGATATTGTGCCAGTTCATCCAATGTTTATCTACGAAAATTCAGTAATGTTAAAGTAACTCGATGGGCAGTTTTATTTGTCATGATGATTATTATGCTTTTCTATATCAATACAGCAGTTCTAATTGATTTACGAACAACAGATTCATATGGATGTCGTGTTCGAGGTGATACAATCTACAAACAAGCATATTCAATCATACAAGTTATTTTATATGCTATTATTGCACCTATTCTCATGGCAATATTTGGTATGATGACCATTTACAATACAAAAAAAGTACGTGTTGCTCCCATAATAGTTTCACGTCATCGTCGAACTGAAAATCAATTAGCCTTTATGCTTATGATACAAGTGATCGTTAATATAATATTAACTATGCCAACTTGTGTTACCTATTTAATGTTAATCATGTCACTTTCAATTCAAACAACATCTACATTTTATTTTGTTCGTACAATAAGTCAACTTCTTCTGTATTTTTCCTTTACTACACCATTTATGTTGTATGTTGTTTCGGCTCGCGTATACAGAAAAGAGCTGATTCAATTCATGTGTCGATTACTACGATTACGTAATAGTAATCTAATTCATCTATCGACAAGTACAATTACAAACCATGTTGTACCATTCAATATAACAATTCATAAAACAACAATTTTATGAATAGTTTAATCAAAATTTATGTTGTGGATTTTAAAAATAAATATTTGAAATTGTTTCTTTTTACTTATGAATTGATGATGCAGATAAGGATTAAGAATCAGAGAGTACGACAAATGTCACATTTTGTCCTTATCAGCTTAAAAAGGGATTACAAATTAAATATAAGACTCAATAAGAATAAAAACCCATATTTACATCCTCGAAAAATTTATTCATTAAATAAATTCTCGTTTGACATAAATCAAAATCTGACAACATATTTCGATGATTTATAATACAAATTTCAAAAAAAAAGTTATTCAACAATTTGATTTGTATTAAGATTAGAATCTATTGATTCTATGAGGCATAGATAGATGTTGTTTGTTGATAATATATTTTCTTTTTTTTCACTCGATTTACTTCACTTTTTATCATTCTCATATGTTTGTGTATTGTAAAATGGAATGATTTATAGTTGAAATTTATAGATGAAGGTGTAGGTAAAGATTGTGCTGAAATCAATCAAAGAATATCTTATTTAAGAAAATGTTAGCAACATATTCATTACATTTTCTTGTTTATTGTGAATTAATTCAAAAGTCTGATGATGCATATGTAACTTCATTTATTCTTCAAATCAAATATCGTTTAAAAACTGCGAAGAATCTAATTCTTATTGAAAAGACATCGAACAAATAATTGAATCAAATATCTTTATTGGAAAAAACGTTCTAACAATAGCTGAAGGAAATACAAATATTGATCGATGGTGTTCATTTCTTTTCTGTGATTTTTTATTGAGAAAAAGCAATGATTCAATCGGGAAAACATTGGTTAACTTTTATTTAGCAAAATGGTAAATCATTAACAACATTTCCTAAACAATTATCTTAGGAAAACAATCATGATCAACTTCAGTTATTCTTCAAACAAACCATCTTGAGGGTGTGGCTGTGGGTGTTTACGAAAGGAAGAGATACCCACACCCTGTCCGTATAGTTTTACTTCTATTTGTTTTTCTTGAATGAGAATTTATGAACGTTTAACAACGCTTATTTTTCTCTCAAATACGAAGTGAAACACTGAAAAAATATTGTTACTATATTCACTATTTTATTGTGAAGAGAGAGTTGAAATATGATTAGAAAATCATAGCGTCTACAGTTTATTTTTCATTTTTTGTTTAAAAGAAAAAAACTTTGAATTTTATTGAACTTCATTTCCGGTGAAAATTTATAAAAATATTATATTAAAAATTAAAAAGAATAAATACAGATGGAAAAATGAAGTATAAAAATGAATACTTTAACAGTGTGAATCAGTGAAAAAAATGCAAGAAAAAATATAAAATAGAATTTCTCTATATCATTGTTCTATAACAAATCCATTTTGTTTCATGAACAGACGGGATAATAGCAAGGCCGAGTGCCATTTATAGGATCTGTTGGTGTGTCACATCTATTACAACTCGAAGCTTTTAAGTCAAGACATAGACGTTGTCGTATATAAATACCATTACCACATGTAACACTACACGCACCATTTGCCCATTGTGACCACGAACAAGCTAAAAAACAAATAAAACATTTATGTATCTTATAATTTCAAGTTTCAATTTAATTCGTATTTCTATTGAAAATATTCAAACTGAGTCATGAACTAGATCAACCATACTTTCAGATATCACTTACGTATGGCCGTAGTAGTAGTTGTAGTAGTAGTAGTTGTTGTAGTAGTACTGGTCGTAGTTGTTGATGACGTTGAAGTAGAAGTTGTTGTAGTAGTTGTACTTGTTGTAGCTATTTAAAATAAAAATAAATAATTTGAAAAATATGATAAATTTTGTTTTACTTGTTGGAAGTGGTGGACATATTAATGTACTTGATAAAAGTGTTGGATAACAAACTGGTGTACCACAACGTGTATTTTGAACACATATTGTGTTATCGTAAGAACATGTTGTATTATTTATATCACATGGTAAAAGAGCTGAACAAGATATGAATGCTGATGCACAAATGCCTCCACTTGAATAATTTGATGTTATATAAAAACATTCACAATCAAGATTAGTTGAACATGGAGTTCGTTTGAGATTACATGAAAAATCATTACATGTTCCTATCGTTATATTAACTACAATTGAAAACATTCAAAATCAAAACAAACAAATATAATAAGAATTAGAAACTTACCGCTTGTTTGTTCTTGGGATTTAGTTCTATAAAAAAATAAGTAAATGAACAAATTTAAAAGAAGAATAATCATTTCCAATACTTACATAAAAATCCCAACGTAGATTAAAATTGTTAAACTTGTATGCGAAAATTTCATTATTATAATGAAAATACAAAGGTATTGTTATATGGTTTTTTTAGATTCCTAATCGTTCAAAAAAAAATAATTACTAGATAATCTAAAATTAAGTTATTAACATATTGAGTAGGTCGAAAAGAGAAAAATGACAAAAAAAGTTCGAAGTACTTCAATAATAGCCGAAAAAGAAAAAGAAAAAAACATTTCAAGTGGTTGCATTAATCAAAAATATTTCATCTCATTTTACTAAATTCTGAATTAGACCCTTTGGCAATTTTGTTGCTACAATAAACCAAATCGAATTACTATGATCCAGAAAAATATGAAACAAAGTATATTTAGATTTTACAAGAAATATAAATTAAGAAAACTTTTCATTTGAATTATTCTCGATGAATTTGAATGTATTTCTATGTTACTTTATCATTTAAAACGAGTAAATCAATGATGATCGATACATCTATTCTTTTTTGTAAAGAAAAAAGTTGTTTGTTTGCATTGGATGTGCTTCGGCGGTTGGTTTTAATGAAACAAAAAAATAAATGAAATATACACATGACGAATAATAATTTTTTTTTCTTTTTTTTTAACTATTGATGGACTACTCGAAATTATGTCAATACACAATGAAAATAATTCGACAGGAATAATAAATGTTGATGCAATCACATTTTCTTTTCTATTCTTTTATTACAACAAAAAGAAACAAAATAATGAACATGACAACAAATTTTTTATTCAAAATTTTCTTCTTTAATATATTCAATTAGATCATAACTTTTCATGGTAGAGTAATACTATTGGTGAAACTATTCAAGCTGAAGAGCGTATATTAAATCACGGATCGTATCAAACATGTAAGGAAATAGCGAGTATCAAAGTAAATCGAGTCAATGGTTAAAAACAAAAATTATTAGCATCATTTCAGGGTATTCATAGTGTTAAAATCAGCTGGCTTTTTATTATTGATAATTGGCAAATTTATTCGGTTAATTCTAGGACTACAATTGTTCATCTTAATTACTATACTAACAACATTTTATTGTTGAACCTGATTTCTATATAAAACTAAAATGCATTCCAAAAAAGGCTGAGCAGCATCGTTTGCATAAAGAATCGCAGTTGCTTGTTCATTCGTTGTTTCATTAACTTCTCTATAAACATTATAATTCAACAATGAAAAAGAGTTAACAATAACTCTTTTGAATACTCAAAAGATTTTAAAGACAAGTAAAATTCTATTGATTGATCAAGATATTCTAATGATCGCTGATTGATTGAATCTAGTTGTATGATGAAAGAATGAGAAGCTATGATACAGTGACACATCGAATGTAGATTGAGATTAAAATTACTTTTTTTGTTAAACATAGAAAAATATGACAATTTTAACATTTTACGACGGTTACTAAACAAAGAAATTGTTAACATCAAAAATTTAGCAAAAAATGTCAAGTTTTTCTGTTTTTTCTCCAGAAGACAGTATATTGATTCGTAATTCTACTTATAATAAAGATATTTGTTAAACACCTTCTGTCGGTATGCGAAACATTCTAACTGATGCTATACAAATAAGGCAGCAACAGCATAGAAATAAAATTACAATTGACATAAGTATAGGAATATAAGCCAATCGATATACTAATGATAAACAAAATTGTGGATGATTTGGAGGATCATATTTAACTTCACTCCAAATACCAAATATCCATTTACATCCATATGTAAACCAAATAAATAGAAAAATAATCCAACAATAATGAGCAATATTAATAATAAAAAGCAATGGATTATTCATAGCAGTCGCTAAACTAACTCCAGTTTTACGATTGTTTGTTGCTTTAGATGATTTGCTTGTTTTTGCTAATAGATAAGTTCGATATCGAACGAAAATACCAGAAGAAATACCAATAATACCATTAACAAATAGATATTTAGGAATATTAGGATTAATTGGACATTGAGAAACATATTTCCAACCAATAAATAATTGTGAAACTAGAAAATAAAATTCTCATATCGATGATTAAAAAAACATTGTAGAATTTCTTACATGTCATAATAAGTCCATATAGTATACAAACAAATAAGAATATAGATGAGCTTTCAAGTTTAGTACAGATAGTAGATTCAGTTGTTGCTGTCAATGGTTCATTATCAAGAGCAGTCTTTTCTTCGAAAGGTATTACTGTTTCTATCGTTGTCATTATTTTTTTCTAAAAATCAAACAATGAAGAAAAATAAATAAATAAATAAACTGCCCATGATCACTATTTAATCAAATATAGCACCATGGAGAAATCTAAAACTAACTTTATCGCCGAATGATTGATGGTCGATTCGTTTCTCTGTCTATACGACACATGTACAAATTTGATTTGGTTTACATCAAAGAATGAAAAACAACTATACATTATACATCCTTTCTCAAAGAAAATCTTTCGAAAATAAACATTCACTTTCTCAATTCAATACATGGAAAAAATATCTACTGTAGAAACGAATGAATTTTTTTCTATTCATTTTATAAATAAAAAACTGTACATGAAATTTAACAATAGAAGTCAAGATTACGATTCTATGTACAGTTACCATCTATTAAATAGTTGGAAAGAAAAAAATGTCTTTTTTTCATCATAGATTTTGCATTGAGATTGATTGAGAATAAAAGTTTTCTTTTATAAGAAAAGAACCAATCGAAATATGAGAAATAGTTACACATAAGTATAGGTCATAATTGAATAATGATGGGTGTGGGTGACTAACTTAATAATCACACCCACACTCACCCTATTTTGAATAAAATCTTGAAAATAATTAACGTTTTATTTTCTCATGAATTAACAAATAATATTCATTATTTTGAAAGAATTATTTTAAAAGAAGTTTTTTTTAATGAAAACTAACCAATGAATAAAATTACATTCGAGAATGATTGATTTCAGGTGAAGGTGGAGTTAATAATATTGATTCTTTTCGAACATCTTCCGCTGTAATATGTCCTGCTGGTAATGGTATTGGATCAATATCAGTTCGTTTAGGTCCAACAAATGAATGTCGAGCAGAAATAAACCAATAAAATGAAGCTATGATAGCTACACCAACAATAACGACAATAGCATAATTCATATTATCTTTTGTTATTGGATAATTTGAAGGAAAAAGCATAATTATTGAAGTTATTGAAAGCCAAATTGATGATAAAATAGCAATTGGAATACCAAATCGACCTAAATTAAATTCTCCATGAGGAAATTTATTTCGAGCAATTGTACATCGAAGAAATATTGGGATTAAATAAGACACTTGATAACCAAATGTTGCAATTGCAATAATTGCAGCAAATGCTGTTGTGGAAATTAATTGAAGTAAAAGAAGTGTTGAATCAATTACAAATACAAATAAAACATTTCCTAATGGAGTTTTTGTTGGTTTAAATACCCATCGTAGATAACGCGAACAAGGAAATACACCATCACGAGCCATTGCAAATCTAGTTTTCATTTAAAATAAAAATGAAAATTTGTTTTTCAAAGATTAAAATGTCTTTTACCCAATTCGACTTGTAACTGTCATCCCTGACATTCCTCCAAAATGAAGATTTATAATAAGTAAAATAGTAAGTGCTAATGCACCTCGATGTGGTACTGCTAATTTATAAATAGCTATACATAAATTTATTGTTTCATTATTATTTGTTTCCATAAATGTTGATACATTTGGAATAGCAAAAAGTAAAGCAAGTAAATAAATCAAACCTACAATAGCACTACAAATACATGTACCAACAATACCATGAGGAGCTAAGAAAAAACGTTAAATTTATCTATAACAATCACAATTATCAATCAATTCATATGCTTTACCTGCTTTGCCAGCACTTTGAGTCTCTTCAGCTAAATGTGCACCAGCTTTAAAAGAAAAAGAAAAAGAAAATTGACAATTTGAATTTCATATTTCTATGTATACCTTCATATCCAGAAAATGAAAAAAGTGTTGAAAGGATACCAATAAAACATACATAAACAAATGGAAAACCAGTACCATTATAAGTCAATGTAAATACATCAGATATTGTTGCTCGTTGTGGAGTCATTAGAAAAAGAACAAAAACAATACTTATCGTTGAACCAATTTGTACAAATGTAGCTAAATTATTCAACCATCCTTGTTGATCAATTCGAAGTGCATTTTGAATAGCCCATATAAATGTTATTCCAACACTTATTCCTACTTGAACACCAACACTTAATGATGGTTTACCATCTACGAGAAATGCTGCATTGATTATTGTTGCAAAACCTGATGAAAATGCGGCATCACCTATTTATTATTCACAGAATTAATAAACAAATGATTAACTGAAATGATTATACTTACCAGCAACATTACCAACAAAATTAAACCAACCACAAATAAATGAAGCTAATGGACCATGACGAGGAGATACAAGTTGACCAGCCCTTTATTAAAAAAGAAGAAATTATATAATAATGTTATCAAAAGAATAAATATATTAATACCAATAATAAACTGAACCAGCACTTGGATAAACAGAACAAATTTCAGCTAATGAAAGACCAGTAAGAATTGTAAAAATTGATCCAAGAATCCAAGACCAAATAATAATACCTGAGCCACCAGTATTTAATGCATGAGTAAAACCAATTGATATTGATGTTAAAACATTAACTGTTGTAAAACAAAATGCAAAAGACATAAATGGAGAAAAACCACGATAAAGTTCTTGTGTATATCCCAACTCTTGCAATACATTCATATCGGAATCTTTTTCTTTTTCTCTTTCAACGTGTTTAGCCATTTGAAATTCAATTAAATATCTACAATGAAAATAAATATAAAATCATCGATATATTACATTGACAATATGTATCATCAGAAGGTTAATCCAATGATTGTTTGCAAGAAGATTAAATATTAGTGTTTATGTCTATAGAAATTGTCTTTTTCTTCTTTTTATTATTCTTTATTCAAAGATTTACACAAAAGGGATCATTGACAGAACAGATAAAATAAAATACAACGATAATCACAACGTTTAATTTTATTTCATTCACAAGGTTTTGCGGTGTGGGTTACGAATAGGGGGAATACTCACACCAGATCAATTATGAAAAGCTGTGAATACTTTGAAATTTATTAAAATGAAAAACAAATAAGTTAATGTGTATCTCCGTGTACTTCTATGCACATGTTCTTTTCTTTTCTTTTCTTTTCTTTTCTTTTCTTGGATGGGTGTGAGTAGTATTATCGCTTCTCTTTTGTTCTTTATTCCTCTTCTTTTCACAATATTCACTCCTTAAATACTCAACGATATCAGTACTACGTGAGAAAATGAAAGAGAATCAACAGTCTTTATGACAAAACATATATTATACCATAATAATTATAGTCTTTTATTTGTAGCCTACACCCACCCTTCCTAGTTATAATGAATCAAAAGAGTTGTTTCAATTACATACATACTATTTTTTATCGAATTATATGGCTCATTTATGGAATTCATTTGAATTATAGTCGTGTGAAGAAATTAACTGCTAAGTCGGTTTTAAATGACAATTTACTCAAACTCAAATGATTTGACAAGCTATTGGATTCTTTATTAAAAAATCGAAATATTAATTTACGCTACAGCTCAATCTTGAGGATGTGGGTGTTTCTATCTTCTCTTTCACATCCACACCCATATCCTCAAGAAATTATAAATATATACATTTAATGCATCGAGTTCAGAGCTATCGCCTGAATATTCTCTGACTAGGCAAATTGTCTATAGCATATTTATTGGTCGTTTTTCTATGCTTTGTTAAGTAATCATATATATATATAGTTTCTTTATCTTAAAAGAAAGATAAATAATGAATTTTGAATTGTTACCAAACGAGATTATATTGACTCTGTTCGATTGATTTACTGAAAATATTTTATGATTTAAATACACGTTTTAATCTTCTTCTTTATAAACAATTTCTAAGATATCGTTTGAATTGTTTATCTCTTTCAAAACATATTTTTGATGATGTATGTCAACAACATTTACCATTTCTTATTGATCGAATAATTACATTAAAACTTTCAGACGATTCATCAACTACTGGACAAATCGATCATTTCTTATCTTATATTTCATCATTATCATTATTAACTAATTTACGATATTTAACATTGTTAAACATCCATTCACGTGAAACTTTAATCAAGCTCGTTAGTGAATTTTGTAATCTTTCAAATGTAACATATTTAAATATTTCATTTCGTTGTTATGAAAATGATGAAATAGATTTTGAAATGATTATTGATAATATTTGGAGTTTACCAAAACTTATTCATTGTCGATATACAATTTATATTAGAAATCTATCGAGTTTTTTATTACCAACAAAAGTTTGTTCAACTCTAAAAATTTTTTATTTATTTGGTCAACAAATTCAATATAATAAAATATTTCAATTATACGAATGTGCTCCATCTCTCAAACATCTTCGAGTATCTGTTACAATCAATGATAATGTGAACGAAAATCGAATGTCATCTCTTTTAACATTAACTAAATTACGAATGGTAACCTTTCATTCGTCAATATTCATGAGTTTATTCGAATATCTTCCTAATCTATGTCATTTACAAATTACACTGTCTTGTTATTTGATAACTGGTGATCGATGGGAACATCTTATATGTAATTATTTGCCAAAATTGAAGACCTTCAAATTGAGAATGTCCGATGATCTTCCTGTTAATGATAATATTGAAGAACGAGCTGATGAATTAATCAATTCATTTCGAAGTTCATTTTGGATTAAAGAACGTCGTTGGTTTGTTCGTTGTTATTCATTTCATAAAAAACTTCATCTAGAAACGTTATCGAAACAGTTTTTTTACATGGAAGATAGTTTTCCACATATATGGAGATCAACTTATCCAAATGATGATCATGAAATATTCTATAATAGTATCACTCATATTTCTGTTGAAACATTTTTCAATCAATCATTTCCATCTTATATTCGTTTACATAATCTTAATACATTACACATCAAATTTCCTCTAAATGATCAATTCTGGTTGATTGTTTCAAGTTTGAAAAAACTTCGAAGACTTCACATAAAATCCTTTACTAAAGAATATCAATATCAATTACAACGATTACTGAATCAAGCATCGGATCTTCAATTTTTATCTATTGATCAAGACGGAGCATCATTATCATTTGGTAAATTTATGAATAAATCTATTGATGAACTTGATTTTCAATGTTTAAATGAAGTATTTAATGAAGAAGAATGTATAAATTTGTGTCAATCATCATTAGGTATTCAATGTAAAATCCTTACTATTTCAGTAACAATACGTCAATCTATTCTTATTCTTATTCAAAATATGACCAATCTTCAAGCATTACATATTCAATATAATGAATATACATCAAATTCAAAGTCAAATGAAATTATTCAATGGTTAAAAACTCAAATAGCATCAACATCTTGCATTAATCAAGATCGGAAATTAAATAATTATTTACATATATGGATTTAAATATTTAAGAGAAAATCACCATTAAAATTAAAAATATTCATTTTGTTTTTTTCAATTCTACAATAAAATATCAGAATTACTCTATTGAGTTTGCGAAGATGATTGCGTATTCAAACGATGAAATATTGGTTAAAAGCTGCTGAACAGTCTAATTTCAAATATTGAAGATTTTGAACTGATACTGAAAGAAATCGAAATATTTAAATAACAGATCGTTGACTTCACCGAATTAATCTTATCTAATGGATTCAGAAATGAGAAGGGTATGGATATTTCTTCTAACCTAATCTCATTCACAGCCACACCCACACTCTAAATATGACATTCATGTGTATTGATATCAATGCCCTAAAATAGTATGAAAACTAGATAGATATCATTACCTTATAAAGTAATAAGATATCACTTTACTTTAATCCTTTTGGTCTTAACATACATATTATTATTATTTGTGTACTACTTTATATATTGATATTTACTCAATCCTATCATATACAGTGTATATAAATATCAACTATTTCCTTTCTTTGTTCTTTCAAAATAAAGTTAAAATATGAGTTATTATCAAACAATACATTTTATTATCTTTATTCTTGCTTCATTAGTGGTTAATTCTAGTGAAATTATTGATTATAATATTCGTGGAACAATTGAAGCTGGTTGGGAGTTTATCTATGATCTGTTTCAAAGTAATTTCGTTGAAAATCGAGATTTAGGAGCATCAGTCGCGGTGTATCATCAAGGCAAATTAGTTGTTCATCTATCAGGTGGATGGTTTGATGAATCACGAACAAAAGTCTATGATAATAATACATTACAATTAGTCTTTTCAACAACAAAAGGACTTGTAGCTGTAGCTGCAGCAATTGCTGTTCAGCGTAATCTTCTCGATTATTCGTCACTAGTTACTCGTTATTGGCCTGAATATGGACAATATGGAAAAGAAAATACAAGAGTGAGTGATATTCTTTCTCATCGTGCTGGAATACCAAATGTTGCTGCTTCATTTGATGATTATCTTAATTGGACAACAATGATACATAAATTAGAAGAAGAATCACCATCGTGGTTACCAGGATCAGCTCATAGTTATCATTCACTTACGTACGGTTGGCTTGCTGGTGAACTTATTCGACGTGTTGATCCAAAAAAACGATCATTGGGAAAATTTATTCAAGATGAAATATCATCTCCATCAAATTTCGAATTTTATATTGGTTTACCATCAACAGAAGAATATCGTGTATCACCACATGAATTTAGTCAACTATCTCAACATTTCAATGATGAATCACTCAATGCTATGATGAATTTCTTTAATGAGATTTCTTCACATGAAGCAGAAATACCAGCTGGAAATGGAATTTCAAATGCTTACTCAATAGCACGATTATATTCATTATTAATTGGCGATGTTGATCATGGAAAATATAAACGAATATTAAATGAAAAGACTATGAAATTAGCAACAAAATCAAATACACCAGATGGAGAATTGGATCTATTTTCGCAAACACATACACCATTTGGTATGGGTTTTATGCTTTTCGATAAAACATTTCCTAGATTAGGACAAGGAAGTTTTGGTCATTTAGGTAACTTAAATAATGAGATTTCTTTTTATAGATATTCTATATTTTTATGTTATTATAGGAACAGGTGGAAGTGTTGGTTTGGCTGCACCATTCTATAATCTTTCCTTTGCTTATGTCATGAATCGAATGGAAGGAACAATATCAGATGCTAACAATCGTTTTGAACCAATGCTTACAAAAATTATCAATAAACTCAATAAATAAAAAACATACAGAAGAAAAAATTATAATTTTTATTGTATGAAATATGACATCAATGTGGCATATATAAAGACATTCATTCTTCAACCACATATTTGTATCAGTGAGATCATTTGTATAAATCTCCTTTATTTTCGTATAACAGGCTTTATAGCTTTTCTTGATGAAGAACTTTGCAAGTGCTTTATAGTAAGTATATCAATACATTATCTAATTTCATCAAAAAAGTAAATATCATTACACATTGGTCTGATCCCGAAATTTTCAGTATATCCAGTAGAAGAAACACATGTTCTCACAATTCTAAGGTAACCAGATATTCTATTGAAATCTAGTATAATAATATGGCGTTCAAGAAATCGAATCACATAAGGATTTGTTACATTTAATAAGATCATAACTGTTTAAATGAATGCGAATAAAATTTGTGGTAATTACGATTCAATCAATGAAATTCGATATGATAATTATTTAATGTTTCTATTGATGAGATTTCTTATCATGTAGTATCACATTCGTACATTATTATTTGAATCCAAACCCGGGAAACAATAAGTTTATATCTTGAAGAAAAGATTGAATTTTACTCATTTGATAGATTGACTGTTACTGTCAGTTGATTAATCTTCTACAGAGATTTGGCTTTTGTTTTTGACATTTTAATTTTCAAGTATTAATCATTCAGGGAAAAGAGGAAAGAGAAATGAAATACTAAGAAGACGATTTGATTTGCATTAATATATTCTTGTTTATCATGGCATCAACATTCTTACCATCACAAATTCTTGAATTTGCTTCAGAATATTCAGTATATAGTAATTGTATTCTAAGTATTATTGGACTTTTGAGTAATATTTTGAATGTATTAGTATTTATTCGATTAAAACAATTTCGAGAGAATCGATGTGTTTTCTATTTCTTAGTTGAATCAATATCGAATTCTATTAATGAAATTTTTACTCTCATATTAACATTTGTATCAGTAATATATGGTAATAATGCAACAAATTTCTCTCTATTCTGGTGTAAAGCCCGATATATTCTTTTTCAATCAACTGGATTGATAACATTTTCTATGATCTGTTTTGCTGCTTTTGATCAATTTTGTTCAACAAATTATCGAATAAATTTAAGACAAATCTGTACAATTAAATTAGCTCAATGTCTTGTATTTACTTTCATATTAATTTGGTGTGTCCATAGTATTTTATTTAGTTTTTTTCTCGGTATTAATCCCTTATTAGGATGTATTGTAATAAATCCAATATGGATTCGATATGTCACCTATTTCTTTTATCCAGTTGTATCAGGTTTCTTTCCAATTGTATTTGCTTCATTATTCAGTTTATTAGCTTATGAAAATGTTCGTCGTGTTATACGTCGACAAATTCCACTTGAACGTCGTCAATTTGATCAACAAATAACTGCAATGGTTTTAATTCGTGTTATGTTATATGTCATTCTCTCATTACCTTATACAATTTATCGTGTCTATTCAATTAATATCAATACACAACAGATAGATTTACTCAGATCTGCAATCGAACGATTGATTCAAACTGTTTTTTATTCAATTAATGGTGTCACTATTGCGGTAAACTTTTCTTTTCTTTTTCAGTTTATTTCTACTAAATATCTTCTATTTATTTTAGGTTAATTTTTATCTATTTTTGATATCATCATCACGATATCGTCGTCAAGTAAAATATGTTCTAAAGAAAAAATATTGGCGACCAATGAAAACTTGGTTATGTTGCAGAAGGAATCAAATTCATCCAGATAATACAATTTTATCTGATAATGGTATTGAACTAGAATGAAATATTTGCTTTTCTCTGCCACCTGTGAATATGCTTGTTCCGTTTTTCATGACAGTATCATTTTAAAATAATAAAACAACGAGAAGTATTTTTTTATTTATTCAACTTTTTCACTATCGATTTTATGTATTATAACTATGTGAATTAGAAAATATCTTCCTTGAATAATAATAAATGAAAGATGAGCATATAAGACGACCATTTCTTTCTCATTCTGTGCTTTTTTCTGTGACAAATAGTATAACATAGATATGACATAAGTCTTTTTCTAACAATAATACTCAGTATGATCTTATACACGTACTTCATTGGAGAGAGTGAAATGCCTAGTTTTGCGAAAATATTCTAGTTAGAAAGCAATTATCGTTGAAATAAAGATCAAAAGAGAGATTTTATTTGTTTCAGTCTAAGAATAGATAGATCGATGTAAATAGATATCTATACCAACAATATTTCGAGAGGAATCTGTTAGTAAAAAATCGAGAAAATATTCTAGAGACAGAAGAGATAGTATTGAAGCACTTATTAATCATAAGATTTTTATTGTAGAAATAGAGGGATGATATATAATTGAATTTTCTAAGTATTATTTCATCATAGAAATGATAATTACATGCAAAAGAAAATGTGTTTTGTCTAGAAAATAAATTGTAATCTTTTTATTGTTTTCCAGTGAGGATTGTAAATGATGCAATTAATATTCCCAAAAATAATAAAAAATGTAAAATAGTTTCTGATGGAAAACAGGCGTATTTTGTAAGATATATATTTTTATATAGCATTATATCAATTTCAGTTAAATTTTGATATCGTTGTTGTAATCGAGCTAATACTGCTATAGTTGTTCCATCAGTTGCTGCAATTAATTCTCGATTTTGAATACGTGCATGAACAGGAATTTTAAAATGTTCGTTTATTGAACCAGATAAATATTTATCTTGAACTTTAATCATATTATCATGAATAAGAGAAGCATTTGTTCGATGAATATGCCAATTATAAGATGTTATAAATAAATAAATTATTGAAATAATAATAGGTATAGCTATTAAAGCTTTATTAGATTTTGCTTGATTAATTAATAGAATAGATACAATGAAAAGTATAAGTACAATAATACCATACAGAAACAATCGACCACCACGCATATATCGCTTTTTATTAACATTTTCTGTATCATAGTGATTATATTGTTTAACAGCAAAATTATAACGACCTGCATATGTAGAACGAATGTAAGTTGTGTGTCCAACATCTCGAATTTGTCCTAATTCTAAATTAACATTAACTTGTTGACTTCTAATAGCAACAGTGTCATCATCATCATCATCATCATTAATATCAATTGTTGAAACATATCTTGTATGCGACATTTTTAAAATTATTTTATTCAAAATGCTCGAAAATATTTATTACTCATATTTCTATTTCGACGAAATCTTTTATTTAGATAACAGGTAAAATAATCTTTTATCGCTTGGAAATTTTTTTGTATGCGAGACAACTCGTTTGTTGACTTTTTAGATATAATACAATGAAAGACTGGAAAAAATAAAGAGTTTCTTACTTTTATCTCGTTTGTTAAATAATGTTGAAAATAAAATTCATTTTCTACTGAAACATTTTCTGAAATCATCGAGATTTGTTACCATAGAAATAGAATATGATTTGAATTCTATCAGTTGGTTTTTGTTCATTTAATACTTGTAGACTGAAATGTGGTGCGAATCAGGGATCTATGTATATGTCGCCTGATCGGTCTGTCTTTTAAAAATTTTCATTTTTAAACCGAAAATATGGTTATAAAAAGCTGTTAGAATAATCTCTGTAGGAATAAAATTTGAAGCATGAATTAACTATGGTATAACATTAGTTAATGACAAATAATAACGTTTTTCGCAATCTGTAATGGTTATGACTCGCCGTCAAACGTGGTCTTTGATGACACCTGGTTAGCGTCTTTTATTAGAACTATGATAGTTTTAATTGAGAAGAACTGATAAACTCGTGAATCACGTCCAGTTCACTTGAGCGAAACTGAAGGTGTGCGTTTCTTCTTTTTTATTTCTCCCACCACACCTACACTCTAAAGATATTGTCAACCGAAATAATACATACATCAGTATCGGCAGATTAGGAAAAGAATAGATACAAATTTTGTATACAATTTGCAATTCTCTTTCAACGTTCGTCCTAAGAAAAAACAAGTCAATGATAAAGACGTCTAAAATCGTTACATAGAATAGTGTACGTAATCTTAAACAAATATTTTTCTTCTTTCGTCGGCATAAAATAAAAACTCGTGTATGTTATCAATGCTCATATTTCATTATCATCGACACAGTCAAATGCAAAATTCGTTTTTAAATATTTGACACGAACTTACCATAATGCGTCAGGATAGTCTCTCTCTTCTCATGAAACCCACGCTATCAAGATCAATAAATTTCTGTGTGATTCATCTTTTGGTGTGTAGAGATACTATGGTGAGTACCAAGAAGAAATTTTAAAAATGCGTGTGTGTATCTGCTGCGTACCAGATCAAATTATCAACATGAAAAATAAAAATAAAAGAACTAGTTGAAAATTGGTGTGCTTTTATTATCTTTGACTTTTATTTTGTAACATAGCATATACACTTCATTCTGTTTTGTTTTCAACCTCAGATTATTTCCAGTATATAAATATTCGAACAATCTCTTTCTTCATTATAATATTTCGTACAAATACCTTTAAAACATAGGAGAGTACAATGATCACGATGGAAAGTTCGAGATATTAACAAAATAAAAGCAGCGCTAATGCATCAACATGAATAATACAATTTTTCGAATTCAATAGATAGATATTCACAGATTGATTGATTTGATGATATGAATGGATTTCTTGTCGATATTATTATCATCTTCCATCAAAATAACAGCAATGGCATAGATAATCAGTGTGAATGTGAATGTTGATATCTCCTTTATCTCATACTCACATCCTTCTCTCTCGTCATGATTGTCCTTGTTTTTCAAGTAAATTATTACTAATACATTTTCTATTAAGCAAACAGCAGATGTCACTAATTTTTAACGTAATATATTTTTTCGAGCTGTACATATGAATCTTGGTAATTATATATTCTATAAATATGTCTTCTCTTTAATTTAAATGATTATATGATATATATATATATAAATATACTCATTATTAAGTTTCTATCCTTTTCTTGTGGTTCTTTATTTCCTCTTATACATTTCTTTTCTTTCTTTCTTTCTGTTCTTCTTTATTTGTATACTTGTGAATCAAAATTTAGACCCATAAAAAGTAATGTCTAAAAAATAGACGGTAGAATACGTAATTTTTTACTCGTTCGTACATCGGTATGATGGTTGAATAGAACGACATTGTTTGAGTTGCGCTGAGTAACGACAATATTATTTCTTTTTTTTTCTTTTTTTTCTTCCCGTACTGTGTATTAAAAGTAAAAGTGAAAGTTAGTATATTTTATTAGCGTTTATAAGAGTGAACACATCAATTTTTACGGTATTTCTATTTTGATAAGATGGGAACTTTTGCAGGACATCTCATTCCAGGTACTATTTTTCTCATATTGAGTTTCTGGTGGACTTATTCAGCATGGTTACGTTATTTCGTCTGCCGACAACGTAAACAATCTTACCACGTTTCTCTGACTTTTCCACTACAGTGTTGCGGACGACGAGTGGCTGCATTACCGATAGAAGCTCTTTTTATTATCATTAGCACAGGTTTTGGTATTGCAACTGAATTAAGTATCGGATTCCATCATAGAGATGGTCACATATCATTCTATATGGGTGCGAATAGTTACCAACATATTGCTACGTATATGATGTTTTTTCTTGTTGGTATTATTGATCTTCTTATTCATTGTCGAGTTCCCATTCCGGAACATCTGAGTATTGTCGCCGTTAACGTAGCCTTTGCTGCCGAAGCAATATCATTCTATTTTCATGGTCATGGTCGATCTCCGATCGAAGTTCAACTTCACGTTTTTCTTGCGCTTGCCATTTGTGCTTCAATTATCTGTGGTACTTTTGAAATAATTCAACGTGAAAAGCAGATTTATGCTACATTGATGCGTGCTTACTGTACATTTTTACAAGGTTCCTGGTTCTATACGGTCGGTTTCTTTCTCTATAGTCCATTTCATGCTCATTATGAAGATACAAAAGATCCTGATGAACATAGAAATTCGATGTTAATCGCTTATTATTTTGTTCTTCATATGGCTATTGGAATGTGTGTTCTTCTTTTATTTGCTTTGCCCGCCTATTATATGTCAAAGCGTAACTTGCAAGCAATCGATTCTGTTAGTTATGAACGTGTTCCCTTTGTGAACAATGATGATAATGAGGATAACGTCAATAATCACTGCACACAGATGGAAAAACTGAATATAATGACAAATATTTGACATTTATAAATATTCAACAATTTATTTAACAAAACTACTTTGCAGGGATTTAATCCTTCTGCGTATCACAATCACTGTCTTGTTTGTCTTTGCTTCTTGACTCTTTTATATTTGTTATACTTTTCTCGACTTAATTCTATTTTATGTTGAATTTTCTCCTTGATCTTATACAAAACTGGTATTATTTTGCTTCTTTTGTGCATTGTTTTCAATAATTTTTTTCTTTATCAATAATAAACATATCATTGGTGTCAAATATACATTGTAATGTCTTTTCTTGGAAGTATTTCATTACTAGTAGACAACAGATTTTGATGGGATATTTAATTAACGATTGAATTATGTTTGTACTTTGTGCAGATAAAAAAAATAGAATTTCATTTTTAAATTCTTCTTTTTGATCATTATCAGCCTGTATTGTTTGTAGGGATGCTAAAGTAACAAAAACCGACATGGATCGATAGCTATGGTTGGATGGATGTTGCCTTGTGATATATATGACACTCATACTCACAATCTTAATGTATCTATTTCAATTTTGTTTTTCTTCAGATAAAGCGTTGAAATGCGTTATTTTGAAGTTTAATACTTTATTATAGTATTTTTTAAATCGATGGAGTCACTTAAATCTATGAATAATAGTAAAAGATGTAAGAATGTTTTTTTTTTCGAACGTTTAAATAAAAATATGATATTAAAGTACGCAAAAACTGTGTCACAGCGTTACAAGATCATAAATTCTTTTATAGAAACTGAAGATTTTAACTAAAGCTGCTCATTTTTCTAGGATAACTAGAACATAACGCAGTCTCTAATTTTTGTAGTTCTCGAGATAGTTGAAAAATCTTGTATGAAAAATGTCACAACATTATAGAGTTTTCTTGTTTTTATTATGGAATTTTTTGACGACGAAAATATATTATAGCGTGATGAAATACCTGTTCAAAATTCGAAGTATTTTTCTTTCGGTAGAAAATGACATAACGCTTTTAACAATATGACTAGATTTATACAAGACTCAACTTAGAATGACACAAAAAAGAAAAAATAACGGAGTAAATTAACATTGTATTTTTATTTAAAAAAAAGTTGTGAAAATCCGATTTTGTAGTTAAATATTCCTTTCAAAGCTGAATTTACTTGATTACTTTACATAGACGAGTTAATATTATCTTTGATGATTTTGAATTGCTGTTTTTCTTCGTCCTATCTGAGTAATGTTCATTGGAATAATTTGATTATTTTTCAAATTCCATAGATTTTTCATATATTTTTTGATTGTTAATCGAAGACGTGGTGAAGAGAGAAAAAAAATGTAGAATGAAGAAATGAAATTAATACCCATAATAAAAATAGTACATTGATTAATTAATAATTCAATAGAAATTTGATAAAAACTTCTCATTGGACGTTTGTTAAGTGTGACTATTGAATAAATAACAAAAATAAATTGAGGAAGTGTACAGAAAATACTTAAAAGAGTTTGAATAATTATCATTCTTGTCATTTGTTGTTCCCACATTGATAAATGATTTCGAATAAGATGTTGATGAATATTTCCATATGTGAGAATACTAAATGTTATTAAAACGAGCAAAGGAAGAAGAACAGAGAAAATAGGAGAAAGAAAATAAATAGCAATTTCACCAAAAACATCATTTGTGAAATAACAATCGAATGTAGGTGGAATTAAATCACAAAAAATCAGATAGGGAATATCAATCAATAACCAGAAAAGAAAAGGAATTGGAAAGAGTCGACGAGCGACATAATTTGAACTTAAATGACGTATTCGAGCTGATCGAGAAGTGCATGCCCAACGATCAAATGCTGATAGACAAAGAAAAGTCATTGCACAAGGTACTGTTAATTGACTAAAAAAGAGCATTAATTTACATGTCATTGAAGAAGTAGATACGGATATTGATG